CACGAAGAAAAAAAAAAAAAAGAAAAAGTTTTTTCTCCTCGAGTATTTTTCATAATGGTATCTATATCTTCAATACCTGCGACATCATCATCAACTACAACATCATCTAGGACTACGATGCCTTCACAGTTACAGCAACACCACGATAATGGCGTCCGAAATGATATTAACGTTGTATCAAATCAATCGAATAATTCTATCATGGGAAATACTAACGTCAAAAATACCCATAATAACCGCCAATTCTTATTTAACAATCATGATCCACAAAATCAGCAACACCACACCGATTCATCAAGAATAAATCGTGAAGATGAAGATATGTTAATTATGGATAATAATGATAATAATAAACGTAATGATGATAATGTTAATTATAAAAGCAACACCACAATCGATAACAATAGCAACAAAAATAATAATATTATCAACAATAATAATAATCACCTTCTTAATCCTTCATCTATAAAAAATTTATCTTCATATTCACGAAGAAAATCTTCCGTATTAGAAATTTCTTCTTTATTGTGCGTACCTTATGATTCTCCTTCTTCTGAAGATAGTATGGATGATGAATCAAGTCATTTAGGTGATACCGAATCGTTGGGATCACCAAACAAGAATTTACTAACTCCTAATTCTTCACCTCCATTTTCTCCTCCTGAGATGACCGCGACTGTCGATCGAGAAAAACGTTTAATTACAAATGATAATAATATTAATGACAATAATTTTCATTCGCAACATGATCTTCAAACAACTCAATTTAAAAACAACAACAACAACAACACCAATAATAATTCTTCAAGTGATTATCACCTTAGACAACAACAATATCATTATAATCATGAAAGTGAAAGATATATTGAACAAGAAAGGTTAGAAGATACACCTTGGAAAAGACCACGTATTATAAATCAAGATGATAATTCAAAACCTTTAGTTTTACCTTCAATAAGAAGTTTTACTTCGGTTCCAGATCTTAGAATAGATTCAGAAAATTTAAATGGACAATTTATTAATAGTCATCATCAACCTTCTTCTTCTTTACCTTCTACTCCTTTATCTGATCACGGGAAAATTAATTCGCCGGCCGACCATCATTCTCCCCAAAAAACTTGGAATAATTTAGAACAATTTGCTGCTATTACGGAAGCTTGTCGTACTAGTTCTAATACAAATTCTTCTCATTCTTCACATGCGGATATAATGGATAATTCAAATATACGTCTTCCACCTGCTTCTTCTTTAACGAATAATAATCATTCGTTTGATAATAATAATAATTCTTCGGTTCAACAACAATCATCACAACAATCTTTATTGTTACGTAGATCCTCTTTTGAAATTCCTCAAACGACGCGTTATAGTCCTTATACTCCATCTACGTTAAATCCTTACATGTCTTCACGTTTATTATCCGATCAAAGACGTCATTCTGATTTATCCGGTTATACTACATCAATTTCAACTTCTCCTAGAAATGATCATTCTGAAAATTCTTACCTTCATCATAATAATAATCATCATCATCATCATAATAATCCATCATCATCACCTTATGGTTATGATAATAGAGATAGACATTATGTTCAAAGATCTCATTACGGTGGTATGCATAGTCCTCCATCACCAAACACTTATGCAGTACCTCATCACGGTGGTTATTCTATGTCATCACATAACTCTCATCATCACCTTCAAATGTCACATCATCATCATCATCATCATCTTGGTTCCCCTTATATGGATCCAACAAATTCTGCTACAATGGTTAAAGCAAAACGAAAACGTGCTAACGCAAGTCAATTAAAAGTTCTTAATCAAGTATTTCAACATACTTTCTTCCCTTCAACCGAATTAAGAATTCAATTAGGAAAACAATTGGGAATGTCACCTCGTACCGTTCAAATTTGGTTTCAAAACAAAAGACAAAGTTGGCGTAGCAAGTCACGTGCAACAACTAATTCTTCCATGAAAGACGAAGATGGACAAATTGATGATGGAAATCTTGACGTTGAAGGAAATGTTAATGATAATAATAATGTTGTCTCCCGTAGACCTAGTAATTCAAGTTTAAGTTGTTCCGATGATGATGAAATGGGAAGAAGAACGGTTCCTGATTCACCTACTTCACCTACGGAGAGTGGTTATGCTCGTAGCGATTATTTTATAAGAAATAATAATAGTAACGAAAATAATGTTAATAATATGTCATCAAATGGAAATGTTTCAACTTCCACACAAAATACTTATTTTGGACAGTCGCAACATTCAAGTAATAATAATAGTAATGGAGATTATTATCATAATCATCATCGATCAAATAGTGTTAGTACCGGTGGTAGTGGAGGTAACATGACTGGATCTTTACAACATCATAATAATTCTAGTGTTATAACTACAAGTTCTTCTTTACCTCCTCCTTCATCTTTAACGAATCAATTACCGTCTCCTGCGTATTCAACAACTTCATCAGTCGGTAATAATGAACGATTACCTTCAATTTCATCGTTCTCTCACTCAAATAATTATGATCCGTTCACAAGTAGCAGATTACCGGCTCCTATTATGATAAATCATCGGTCACAAGCACAATCTTCTTTCAACTGTTAGTAATATCTAAAAAAAAGTATTAATTATACAAAACACTTTTTTTTTTAATTATTTTTTTTTCTTAATTAACGCCTAATATTATAATATCTGAAATTTTATCCTTTTTTTTTAATTCTTTATTTGCATTATATTTTTTTATATTAATTTTTGAGAAAAATCCTCTTCTCTATAGAGGGAAACAATTACGTCATTAAAAGTAAATAGCTAAACGTTTTTTTTTGTAAATAATTTTTCTCTGGATTTTTTTGTGTTTTTAAGGTCTGGGCGGATGGAATAGGTTATTATTTTTATGATGAAATATTTTTTCGTTTATATATATATATATATATAT